GAGTAGTGCTTAAAGATTGCTTGGTGCGGCTATAAACGACCGTTAAATGGAATGATGACTTTTTGAAGGATTTTGAAAACGGAAAAAATGATAGTCATGCTGGCCCAGCATCATCAACATTGAAAAATGCCCCGGCACGAAGTGGTTAAAAGAGAAAAATGCAAAACCTGAAGTCATCTTTTTGTTACGTTCTGTGGATATTAACTTGCAGAGTCTTCAGCCTGGGTAGTTTCATAGTGCGGTAGAATAAAAGAGTGTCTCACTGGTTTGCTGCATTCACGTAGGAGCTGAGAAGTGTCTGGCGCAGCAAAGCCTAGAGATTTGTTCCTCGTAGTGAGCTCTTGGTGTCTATGCGAATCCCGTCTTCAGAAAATAGTTCGTCAAGTGTGTTAATTCTATACTCACCTTCTTACATTTTACTCACTTGTCCTAGTTCGAAGTAATCTTTTCCCATTTTCATATCTTGCCCTGGAGACTTCAATTTTCGACATTAATTGGACATGTTGTAACCACTCTTCAGAATATTTAGAACAACGTCGTCTTGTGATAGTCTTAACTTTGACCCAGGTCCCTACTGTCCATTTCTACCATTTTCCCTCCGAGCCAGGAGTTCTTATGTGGCACTAACTTCCTCATTTCCGCGGTACCCGGTATCCTGGTACCCCGGTACACGAAGCTTTCAGTGTCAGAAGTTCCTCACAACTTTACCATCTCTCTTGTTTCACCGTCCACGCCTAGCTTGGTGACTGTCGAAATCTTTTTTTTCAGAAATCTTGACAGATTGCTGTTTATCACAGGATGTAAAAAAAAAATAACCATTTTTTTTTTCTCTGTCCTACATGCTTTGGTGACATTCATGATCATTTTCCAACCAATATTCCTTCTTACAACAGTTCGTCATTTCCTTCTATCTAGAGAAACAGTGTCTTGTAAAATCTGTCTCTTAGTCATCTCTCAGCCATTTGTAAATGCGGGCAAAAAGCGACTATGCATCTTCTCAGATTTTCTCAAGCTACTTTTGCCTCACCGTAATAATAATTAACATGTTGTCAGCCTTGAATTTCAGATTGACAGTAGTCTAGAAAAGTGTTTTGAAACCTTTGGCCTAAATGTCACCCAACCTAACAAAGATGGGACAAATCTTGCACAATGCTGATCTCTGGGAATGTGGAACAGTTTTCTCCCACTTAATCAAGCATGCAGTTTTTCCTTGGATCAGTTGATTTCCTCTTTTTTTTCACACTCATGCCATTGAAAGAGTGAAAAATACGGCACAAGGCCTGTCAAGATTTGAATTTCCTTGTGTTTTGGCAAAGTCAAAATTGCATGCCTGTTTAATGTACATTTCCATCGGTATACCAAATGGAGTGGTTCATCAAAACAAAAGGCTGGGCTGCTCTTTCAAATTCCAACTTTTAAAAACCAAACCACTAAATAAAATTGGCTTTGTGGCTCCTCGGAATTGGTCCCAAAAGTTGTACAGGCATCCTTGGAGTGTAAGTTGTCATACATTTAAGTGTCTCAACATGTGAAATGGTAGACTTGAATCAAGTGGGACTTACGTTGCTCTGCCATCCCTTCAGCCTGTTAGCGTTACGCTGGGCGCGGCAGCTCGCACAACCCTTATAAGACGCCCTCATTTGATAGCCCTTTATTGTACAGCATGTGTCATAGGTCGCCACTCAGTAAGTCCGATTTGACGGATAAGCCAATCGGACCCCCTGTCAGTAATATGTAGTTATTCATAATTGCACATGAATAACATGATCCTGCATAATGTATACGGAATTTCCACCAATCAGAATAGTCAGTCTTGTGGACTCGTTTGTAATTATGCAGGTATGAACGATGAAGAACAAGTCCAGCAATGTGATTGGCTGCTACCAATTTTGGTAGATGAGCCCATTCGCTGTGTACAAACGGTTGGCAGATTCGTCAAGTCGGGATTTCTAAACTGAATTCATAGTAATAAGTGGTCACAAGAGGGCGCGAAGCAAGTAACGGCGTGCATTCTCGATATGTATCCAAAGTGTAACCGAAGACGTCACAGAGATCCCCGACTTAAGTCAAGTCTAGCGAAATTGGTGTTAATCTGTAAGCCTTTGAAAGAAGTTGCTCGCTTTTCTGTTTGGTTTTGCGCCCAGGGCCATCTGCTTTCTCAAATCAGACATTCTCAAAAAAATACTCAACCATTGAATATGTGGTTGTGGTAGGTACTGTGCAAGTAGTGTTAATGTTAACTGTTAAATCTTACACCGTCATTTGCTGTTGCAATTGAGTGTGTGACCCCATCCCAGCCCCTTTCCCGAATAAGTGGAGTGCCATTCCATCATAGCTTTTTGGCTGAGACAATTTAGAGCGAACAAAAAAGCAAACATCTTTTTCTAGCTGTGGAATAAAAAGAATAAAACAAAAATGAACACCCCCCACCAGAAAAAAATTACCACCTGACGGTAGCCACTCTTTTTTTTTTGGTGTGGTGTCATTGGAAACCCAAGTATTTTTCTTCAGCTGAAGTGGAGCTTTGTACAGAGTCGGAATAGCTGTCCCTCTGATGAGATGTGTCAGTATCATCCAGCCTGTTGTTCACTCTTTCCAAGGGTGTCAAGTAACCCCCCCCCCAAAAAAAACAAAACAAGTAAAACACCCACCCAGTCGCCCTATTTTCCAGTGTGTTGAGAAACAGGAGTATCTTTTTCTTGGGCCAAACTGGAGTTATGCACCGAGTTTTTCACCTGACCCTCCGATGAGTCCATACCTAACACTGACGTTCATTCTATCCAATGACATTCCTTTTCTTTGCTTTACAGCATCGGTATGGCTCTCATGTGCGGAGACCCCAACCTCCCTGAGCTGGTCCTCGGGCCCATCGTCAGCAACGACACCTGCTGCCGTGACCTGCAGCTAAAGCAGACGGTCAACGTGGACATGTTCCTGAACACGGTTAAGCGGCGGGTGAGCATCGAGATCACCTCCTTCCACCAGGCCAAACTCTACACAGAGGACGTCCACCATGGCTACATCCTAGTCTACTCCACCAAGCGGAGGGCTTCCTTTGAAACGCTGAAGTAAGCTTAGCAGCTTTCTGATTTGTTACAGTGCCTGAAATTAGGCGAGGTGGGCTGCCAAAGCTTAATCATACCTGCCAACCGTTCTGATTAAATCAGAACTGTTCAGATATTTAAGTTTTAAGACCAAAAACAAAATTGGAATGTTCAGATCTTAAAAAGGGGGGGGGGTGTTTATTGCTTTTGCACCAGGTATGAGCCGGCACTTAAACCAAGAGCGGGGTGCCTTTTTCCACAGCAGAGTAATTTTTCGTTTCCATGTCCCCGTTGTCTTTGTGCAGATTCTTTGTGAAAACCGTCAGCCCCATCCCCATCGAGATTGTGGCCGTGTCGGACAGCGAGAAATTCTCCTCGGACTATGAGATGCAGGCGTTGATAGCCGAGGGGAACAAGCTGGCCGACGAGACAGAGAACTGTACCTTCATCATGGCCGGTGCCAACTTTGGCAACCAAGGTGCGTTTTTTCAGCGGAAGGCCCCAATGAAATATAGGTTTGCACATGACATTTTTCTGGACAGGTCAGCCAAAAATACATATCTTTTCCATAACGTACTGAGTTGTCATGGTTGTGATTGAGGTCATTAACTTCAAATGATCATAACATCAAAATCCTGTGTCAGATGGAATTGAAACTTTACATTTGTGCTGATCGTGAGTGTCTTTACAAGTCTGCTAAGTTTCAAAACGATGATATGTGTGACAGCTGAATTGTTGGGATGGGGCAGAACCCCCCCCCGGGCTGTGAGATGGTGTACTAAAATACAATGGCTCTTTTAGGGTTAATGGGAACGTCGTACATGTGCAGGTGATTGTTTAAAAAATGAGTTCTTCCTTTTTACTTTTGGGAACTTTGTCCCCTGTAGCTTTTTGTATCTGTGTACCTGAGATTTTGGGGGGGAATTGGTGCTGTTGGCGTAATTTTTCTCGGATCAAAATGCAGTGCTCTTCCAACTTTGATAAAAATATCCTTTGTCGTGTTTATTGTCTGAAGACACCTGGTTTTAGTTTGACCGCTTGCCCCCTCCTCTTGCAGCGCTGGCCTACTCGACGTTTTTCACAGAGGCATACGATAAGATGGCCGAGACAGAGATAGCCCACGATAATCTCTTCGGGCCGGGCTTTGACGATGACCAGTTTGAGGAGGAGAGGCAAGCTCTGAGAACACCAATTGAGCCACCACCGTCTGGGTAGGTCCGGGCTCCCTATGGTGCCCTGCTTGCATTAACCATGCATTCGACCCCATAGAGTGGGTACCTTCGGGTACCCATTGCCTCATCTCACAGGTTTGTTTTCCAAGTTGAGCCCACAGACTTGGTAACTTTGGGTACCATATGCTGGGCTGGGTTCTTTATGGTACCTAAAGAAGTCAACAGTTTGGCTTTTTTCAGTAGTTTCAGATGAGAACTCTGCTTTTCACGTTCTTTTGCAGATTTGGAGAGAATGTGTACGCCAGGCCGCAAGTTGTGAAAGGTGTCATATACCCACCTGGTAAGATCAATTTACATGTGTCTCAGGTACCCCTTGTAATTCGAGAACCATCTTTAATCCTAACCTTCCTAGGTAGTTTGGTTAGAAACCCTGCCAGACACGTCAGTCTTGCATCATTTGTCAAAGTGGCTTGCCTGCACTGTGTAACAAGATCCAACGGGTCAACTCTCCCCAAGGCCAGTCAGCCTGGGAGTCTGTGGTTGCGATTCATCACAAGATCTGACGGTAGCATTGTTCATTGGGACTATCTCCCATTGTCTCAACATGGCCGGTTTGTTCACCTGCTCTTGATTGCCCAGAGCATCATCACTTTTTCACCTGATGCTCTTGTACAGGACCCATTTTTCTGAGGCAGGTCGGCCAAATAGGTATACTTTTTTCCTCTGTCGGGCTCGGTGCACACGTCTGGCCTTGAGCTTCAAATGAATGTTACAACAGAAACGTATGTCTGTTTAAATTCAAACGCCGCATCTGTACCAATAAGGAGTGCCGTTGTTTGTATGCCCAGTCTTAGAGAAATTGAGCGAGTTCTTAGGGGAGGAACGGAATTTCCCTCCCCCCAGCACCAGGTCATTACCAGCACCACAAAGTAGCACTAAACTGCAACTGCGTGCTACTTCATGAAAACAGTGTTGACAACAATTTCGGTTTCACGAAGTAGCACTCGTGTCTTTTGTCACTATAGCATGGATAAAAATGCTTTGAAAGGTCTAAAATGATTGGATTCGCCTGTAAATATGTGACTTAACGGGAAGATGCTCTTGAAACTCACTTTGACTGTTTAAATTAAGGAAAAGATCAATTCCTGAACATGACAACTCAGGGAGCACGTGTCGCACTTGCCGTGTGCTACTTCATGAAAACGAAAATAACACATTTCTTTGAAATATGCGCTGAAGTGGCACACACATCTATGGATAACCCGGCTCTATGAAGGTTAACACCCCTTCTGGAGAATTCCAAAAAGGAGTATTTTGGGGGTTAAGTTACGATGGCATACCTTCCACGTGCACCTTACAACTGTATTTCTGCTTTTTTCCGCATTTCATTTCTGGGGTTTCCGTTTGCACACCACGTGCATGCATTGTCTGAGATTTATAGATTCGTGAAGTTTTCGGTCATTCCCTTGCGCTTTCTGAAATTCAAAATTCATTGAGAATACTGTAAGCATGTTAATTTGAATGTCAAGTAAACCGGATCATGTTAGCCAATGTCATCCTGGTACGTGTATCCGGCTCGTAAGTGTGAAGTCACTTCAGTTCAAACCACGCCCACTGCACATGTACTGCACCGGTACATAGAGTTTATTCATTGATCGCCGTTTACATGGAACCACGGAACCAGAAGTCAAACGCACATCTTCAGCAAGCAGCTAACGGGAGCCTGCAAATCTTGGCACATCAGCCTTTGTGATGAAGTCACTTACGAACCGGATTCACTGGCAGCAGAACGATTGTCATCGTTGGGGAGGGGGACAGTTGTGAGACCGTCATTCATCGTCCATTAATAGCATATGTATCAACATGTACGTGTACTAAAAGCACTCTTCTGGGCAGAGCTGGTGTTGCACTAACTGGTTTCTTTGGAATAAGATTAGAAGCTTTTCATGATGGAGGTAGCAAATAATCTAGATAGGTTTGTGGTAGCACCATGGATATATCTCTTTTTTGAGTATGTACATGTAAAAGAACCCCACATACTCAAAAAAAGATATATATCCATTGTTTTTTTAAGTTTAAATATGTGCTCAGTCTTTGCCGATACCAGGCAATGACTTGAAGGCAGCGCGTGCATGTTTAAAACGCAACATTTTAATGAGACAAACAGAACTTCTACAGTGGGTCTCCCAAGTGGTTGCTGTAAAAATCATTTTGGTAAATTCATTTAGAAGGCCAATTTTTGTTTTTTCGAATTTTGGCTCTTTTTCTGGTGTTGCCTTTGAACATGACACATCCAATAGGTCCCCGATTATGATGTTAATAGGTCCCATGATTTTGAACAGGTTGAAGTTTGAAGACTTGAAGGTTTTCATGGCGAAAGATCTATATGTTTAAAATGCTTGCGGTTACACCATGGGTCAATCTCTTTCTTGAGCAAGCGTTTTACTCATGTTGAATTTGTAGTTTTCCATTTTCCATGTTTGCCTTTAGAACCATCAATCTTTGCTGCAGTATTTAAGCCCCTCTGCGGCATTTTTGTTTTATTTTGTCTAGACATTAGACTCCAATTATAGTCCCGGGGCCAGAAAGACTACATGTACATGTAGTTGTAGAGTAAAATTAAGCCATGAGAACGACCGTTTCCAAACACATCAAAACATGCTGGGAGAATGTAGGCGTGGCACACAAGGCACAACACAATTACAACAAAATTAGCAGAAAAAAAATTCTCAAATTCCCTTGTAAATCCTTCCCACCGTGTCTCTGTGCCCGGAAGCCTTAAACCGTCTTAATTTTAACCCTCTTAATTTTAATTTCAACCTATTTCTTTCTTCTTTATCCCATGACTACTCTCTGCACTCCTAATTCCCCCATTTGTCAACTCAATTTTCCTCCCATGGCAACCCCGCTCTTTGATACGCTAACCTCAATCTTGTTCATTCATGCTTAATTCATAACTTTTTAACTGATCAACCATGCTGCTCAAATTTAACCCATCTGTGTTTCTTTGCGTGTGCCTCTATCAAAATTTGTGTGCTGTTTTTCCACATTTATTCAAAACCTCTGGTGATTAATGTATTTCATGGATATATTTCATTTTCTTCCAAATTCACCCTGTGATTCGACAACTTTTTCTCTGTTTACTCACAATTTGGGGGGCTGTGCCTTGTCGTTTTGTAAAAATAACTATCAACTTGGCCTCAATTTCTGTCGTCTGTATACATTGTACTACGATGACTGGTTCTTGTTTTCCCTTGCAAACTGATTCGCCGATTCTTGCTGTCTGTCAATGTTGCGGGTGCTGGAATATGTTATAAAATGTTACACTTGAATGGTGTGGTGTGTTAACTGGGTTGGTTCACAATGTTTACTTCCTCGGTTCATTTGTACTTCTGCGTGTGATGTCTTCTGCCTTTAACGTTGCCACTTTTGGGGGGTCATATCCCACTTCTGCCACCATTTTGGAAATAAAACACATCTCTGGAATCATCTTCGAATTCATTTTCATGGTCTGCAACTAATTTTTTTGATCGAATGGCATTTCCGCTACTATGGTGATTGATACAAATTTTGGATCACATCCGAATGTTACCATCATACATGCATCTGTATCCCATTTTTACCACTGATTTGGATCAAATTTATTTTTTGCAACCATTTTTGGTGAAATTGCACATTTTTGGTGAAATTGCTACCATTTGGGTTCCTATGGGTTCCCACTTCTGCCACCGTTTTTGAAACAAATCCCACCCGCGCCTGCTGTCTGAACAATTCTGCACCCCTCCTATACACACACACACACAATGCATGCTGTTGCACCTCATCCACCACACTCCCAGCACAAACTGTAGTGTCCAGCACCTACAGTAGAGCAAGGGCACTCTCCGCCGGTGAAACCCCGTCAACGATGGCACCCCCGCCATCTTCCAGAGTGTACGATCACCTAGTAAGACCGAGTGACATAAAAAGTCAGCAAAAATTGTTACGGAATCAAGGTACACCTCCCCTAATTCACTGTTTCCCCATCCCCCTTTTTTTATCTTGACAGCAGTTGTGGGTCAGTGTTATGGTCTCATTTAAAGTGGCCTTTAATGGAACTACAGCTAAATCATGCTTGTAGTTATACATAGCGTTTCCACAGATACTGACAATTCTAACATTTTTTGCTACCGTTATCAATATGCTTTTTAAAAGCACTATATCCTTTTAAAATTTACGTGTGGGTGGCATGGTAACTTGGATTTTGTAGACTCGAGCAATAATTATTGCTTTTCTAAATTTAATACCCTCTAAATACATCTGAGACGTTTTGGGAAAAATACACTTGGGTTTGGTGATGCTTTCCTTGCCGAAAAGGTGGCAGTTCACTTTAATATTTTCATGTTACATGTTTCGTGCACTGGTGCCTCGCACAAATTGGCTGTTCGCTCAGTCAGCTTGGGCCAAGTTTGATTGGTGGACTGTCGTTCTACCACCAGTCAATTTCCCTGGTGCCCAAGGTGTATGCTGTGCATACATGTAGGTTACCAGGCAAAATAACCAGCGGTTGATGGGTGCTGATCAAACTTTGCCTGGGCTAAATGGATGAATGGGTTTAATACATACAGTGTACACGCACACGACAGTGCCATAGATTTTTGGACCAAATATGTGTACAATACTTTCCAGTGGACCAATTTTTACCCCAAACTTATTTGCAGTAGACAGAAACTTTCATTTAAGAGAGGTATGGTAATTTTTTACATTGTTTAAATCTCCCCAGCAACTGAAATTAACAAAGTACATGTACAACTTGAATTGTACACTGCAAAAAAAGGAGAAAAGAGAAACAATTGCTTGTGGGCCTTAAACTGGTCTTAAACAGGCTAAACTTTCGACTGTCTCTAGTAAATTTTCTATGATTTTCGTGAATATCACCCAGTGGTCTAAGGGGTCATGAACCTTTGGCATCCTTTTCACAAGTGTACAAAACAGTGGTCTTTCCAATGACCCCTCTGTCCTTTCCTGAAAGTATTTGTTAAGAAAACTTTGACAGCCGGTCAACGTTTTTATGAGTTCATTAATGTTTTAGTGGGATGTAAACCTTGCCCGTCCTAATGTACGTTTTGTGCGACAGGACGAAATAGAAAAAGGACGACCCCCAAACAGACAGCACATAATGGAGTTTAATGTTTGTGTCCAATTTTTCTTTCTGTCTTTTCTACTGCAGATAGACGAAGTGATGAAGCCTTCTACGATCAACCTGAGAGGTTGCCGACAAGCCCAAGAAGATATCCTAACCACAAGAGTGAAGGTAAACCACTGGTGTCCACTGCTTTTCAATTACCCGTTCTGCCAATGTCACGACATTAAGTCAATTTAACTCTTTTAAAGTGTTGTTTGTTTTCTCAATGGTTTTGCTCTTTGTTTCCCTCCAAACAGAGTGACACGGACTACTAAATGAGATCTTTCCCACTTCCAACTTTATGATAAGCATCTCCAGAACACAGCTGTTGTCGATACATGTACTCATAGGCCCATTCTTTCCCATTTTCCCAAGAGCTCACCTTCAAAGTTGTCTCTCTCGAACCCTTAAATTCTTCTTCAGAACCAGTTTATTGTGTAGTTCAGAAGGATCGGAAGGGAGAGAATCAGCAGCAGACCCCGAAAGATGCCATCGAAGGTAGACCATTTGTGTCCGCTATGCTGCCTGATGCTTCTGCCCAAAAATCTAACCTGCCATTTCTTCCGCAGGAGCCCTTTATATCATTGGCTATACAGTACAAGTCCGAATTTTAGCCGACACGCTTAGTGTGTCAGCGTATTGGGTCCAACAGACGTGCAAGGAGTTAACTGCAGACTTAGACTTAGACTTTGGTTTCACTGCTTCACACCAGTTTAAAGCAGCGTTCGAAAGCACATGTTCAAGCTCTGACTGGAACCAGCAAAACTGAAGTCTAAGCCTAATCTACTCATTTTGAAAACGCTTTTGTCTGATGCAGTGTTCTGCACTGCATGTGCAGTTGTTCACTCCATGTACACGTTGGTTAACCGCTGTGGTCTGCCGTCACAAGCCAATCGAGATAATGAGGTCTGGAGTTGGGCTTATCATGCGTTGGACCACCAGTATGTGCAGTGTGTATTGAATAGCGTGTCAGGGTCACTGTTCGTGTTTGCGTGTTGGCTAAAATTCTGACCTGTACGTTTGGTCTTCGTGTGCAGAGCTTGAAATTGCCCAATTGTAGGTCTTTCTCATCTCTGCGCTTTGACGTCCCTTGGGGTTGATGCACAGTGTGTGCACTGTTGTGCGCCGGTCAGAAACTGAGTATTCACTCTAGAGTACATCAAAACACACATTGTATTTTTGTGGGTGCTGGACACATGACATCAGTTATGTTCAAATGGCGGCCATGCGTCTTTTTGTCACCCCAAGAGGAAGTACTTTTTTACAGATTCCAAAGATTCCAAAGCAAAAAAACAAGCTCCCTAGGATGTGATGTACGGACGTCTTACAAAAAATCTGGACTCGCAATGCCCTTAATAATCCCACATCGGTCATCGAAGCCACCATCAGCCATCTTACCCTGCCAAATACCAACGTAAGACAGAGGCTTGCTTGCCTTTGTCATTCCGATCGTTCATGGTAACAATAGTTACAATGGCACATCAGCCAACCATCACTTTTGTCCTTGGCGTAGTAAAATGGCCGCCGATGGCATAAGTTGGTGCAAGGGCATAGCAAATCCAGATAATTTTATGTGACGTCCGTGATGTGATGGGGTACCAGTTCCTCTGTTCTCTGAAGTTGGCTCCTTCTCAGTAAAATGCAAAGCTCGCTTCACTTTTTCTCTTGCGGAATGGAGCCGAGCCTGACCGGTGGCTTTTGCCGGTGAAAAAAAAAAGTATGCAACAGATCTCTCAAAACGCCATCGCTTCTTTCCCTTTGCCATGTGCATCATCTTGGATGTCAAATTTCCACGATGCGCACCTGCTGCGCCATATTTCAAAGACGTTTGTGTCAACATGCACTCATTTATAAAACATTGGTCTACTGCATCCATGTGCACCACGACGCATTGAATACGCTGCTGGGATTTTCCTATAAAGGCAGGGTCCTGTGAGAGAGATCTATAGTTGAGCCTCCTTTACTGCGCACTTGAAGCAAAGTGGAAGAAATGGGCACTGGGGCCTGAAGGTTCCTCAAAGCATGCTGATCTCCGTGAATGGAGAGTCCTCAGAACTTCAGAATCCAGTGTCTTGAAATTGCTGAGTAGAATACTTGCCAGTAGTTACCATTAAAAAAAAAAAAGCTTGCTAGATTTCTAGTTTCATTAACCCCACCCGATGGAGTGTGTGCCTCATTTTATACACATAAAAGGCCTTGTCACATTACAGCCTTTCAACCTGGGGGGAACTTGACCCTGGGTGAACCCATGACCGCCCCTGGGTTAAAATTGGGTTTCTCAACCCCGAGTCCAACCCAGCATTCTTTCACACTTGTTTCATGGGAACCAAGCTTATCAGGGCAAGTCCAATCCAGACATGAGCACAGACAGGGTTGAGTTCAACCTGGGTGGAAGTCGGCCTCGGCGTCGACACAGTTGAAATTTTCGAGTGTGAACCATCGTCAGTGTTCAACCCTGCGTTAACTCCAAGGTTTGTCTAGTGTCAAAAGGCCATGACTCAGCTGCTGTTGAGTATTAAAATTGACCAACTGTTGGTCATGTCATTTATTTTGACCTTCGGATTCAGTACAGAGAACATTGCTGTGCATGTAAGATTCTAGGTTTGCGGCAACACCAAGTGAAAATCTTTTTTAAGACTGTGTGTGGTTCTGAAAAGACTCCGGTTCTTTTCAGAACTAGATTTTTCATTCTAGAAGCCTGCAGAAAGCACTAACTCAAAAATCAGCCTGTCCATCTTCAAAGCAGAATCAAAGTGAGGGGTTCCAGGTGGAGAAATGTAGGCAAATAATTGGCTTCTTTGTCTGCCTTTTCACCGTTTTCACTTCTTTTCTGTCAAATGTTGCTGTGACTCTTGCCTGCTAAACCTGTTCTGTCTTACGCTAAGGCTCTGGTGGAGACCAATTTAACAATTCTGCTTCAAATCCTCCTCAGGCTCTTGATACCTTTCCCTTGGCTAAAATGTCCACCCACAACCAACAGTGAACCTCTTAGCAGGTTTGTGATCGTCTAAACATGAATTCCCAGGTCATGGCGTTCACAGCTGGAGGTGTGGTCACCTGTCTCCATGATGCCAGGAGCTTTGCAGTCTGAAGGCAGGCCAGCTGGTGTCAGCAGTCGCGTGTGCTAACCCTTTTCTGTCCAAAAATGATCCGGATCTTTCCTGAGAGTTTGCTTCTGCAATGATGTGTAGCGAAGAAAGGAAGGCAGTCTACTATTATACTTTTGCTGAAAAAGTAAAAATGCCTTTAGCCTAACTCGGTACAAGGGAAATACTCTGTAAAGTGATATCTTGCCAAACACTGGACCATATGAAAATTGCAAAAGTTCTTTCTGTGGCCCACCATAACTTCTTCTGGATGACAAATACTCCTCCTGCAGAGCCTGGCCATAGTTTGTCCAACAAAAAGCCAGGAGTGGAGCTGCCATCCCCAGGAGCAAAGGACACTGGCGAAGGTAGAGATCTTGTCTCCTGTACTTGCCCTTCAGGGGACATCTGGAGATGGCCAAAGAATCTATGCGCTTGGTAGAGCTAGAGAAATTTTGAAAATACTTCTTTGACTTTGTCGCTGCACTTTCTGTTCTCGGTCACGTCAGAGTCGGTCTGCAGAACTTTCTCGTGGTACAGCCCCAAGTCTACACTTTCTTTAGACTTTCCAATATCCATCCACTCCTACCCCTGAAGTCAGTGGTACAGTCCAGAAACAACCCCCCTTCCAACAAGTTACCCCTTCTTGTAAGCACCTCCACCACCCTTCCATCCTTCTGCCCCTCGTGTTTTGTTGTATTCAACAAACCACCCCGTCATCAACCAGTCGCCCCTTCCTCAAATCTCTACCAACCACTGCCTCTGAACCCCTCGCAAATAGCACTGTGCCGAATATCCAAATAACGGAATACTCGATCCATTATTTGAATACTATTTTTCGAATTTGAATATTCGAATGCAAAATTCAGGAAAAGGCAGGGAAAATTTTCTCCTGTTTTAAATGAGAAAAATTGCGCTGGGATGTTTGTTTCAAGCAGATTTAAATGAAAAGCCTCAGAAATTTAAAAAAGTAAATTATTCATTTATTCAGTCACAAAGGAATAGAAATTTTCAACAGGGCAAGAAGTCTTGTTCATCTCTTAAATCCTTCTATCTCAAGGTTAGAGATACTCCAAAATGTGAGAAGCTATTATATTGGTCATAGTGTACAATTGTGTGTTATTGGAACAGATATTGTATATGGTTTGTTCAACAATTTGCCAATTGGTGCAATCGAATATTTAGTTATTCGATCAAATTGAAAGTTGATTATTTGAATAGTGAATTATTCAAATTGACTCAGCCCTATTTGCAAAGCCAGGTGGTACAGTCCAAAATCCACCCCCTTCCCCAAGCCAGCCCTTCGTCTAACCACTTCCTCTACCCTTCAATCCCCTACAAAG